GAGCAGAGGAGGGGGCTCGGGAGCCAGGCCGTCCCTCCCTCCGCCTCCCCGGCAGTGGCCGCCGCCAAGTCCTGTCACTGGGGAAAGGACGGGGCGGAAACTTGCCTCCCATGTCCCGGAGGAGGGGGCAAAGGTGGACTGAGGGTTCTCACCAGAGCGGACCCTGGCCGGGGGGTCCACAGCATCTCTGTCGGCAGAGTCCTCTGGGAATGGGAGCAGTGAAGAGCGAGGGGACAAAATGGGTGACTGTGGTAGAGGGAGGGTGACCTATGGGTGACTGGAAGTGAAGGGAGAGTAAACAGAGGACTCCATGGGAGGGCAAAGGGCAGTGCCAAAAAAGAAAGCGAGTGGGACAGCAGGGCCGCACTGTGGAGGCAGTGGGACCCTGGGGTTGCAGACGGCGGGGACGATGCCTCCAGACGAAGATTCTGGAGAACCAAGTGCCAGAACCCGGAGAGGAACCTCCAGCCCGCGCTCTGTCCGGGCCCTTTCTGCCAGACCCCTGCACCCCTCGGGCGCACCTCACACACGCACCGCGCCTTGCCGCTGCTCCCAGGAGGCGCCCCTCGGCGGTCAAGTCCCCCTCGGTTCCGATGAGGTTTCGTTTCCCCTGTGGCAGTCCTTATCTCAGAGGGGATGGAGGGGCGCGACTGTGGGAGACGAGCTTAAAGGGGTGCCACCCAGCAATTGCATGATAAAGCAAATGCTGCTGTGCGCACTGTGTAAAACCTGACCTGGTTGAGCATTCTCAGCGCGCCATGAAGTCACAAAAGTTTTTTTTTTTCATTGCAGAATCCACTCTCTAGACATGAGTGAAGTATTGGGGAGACTCAGAAGATTATCACCAAAAAAAAAAAAGTGAGACTCCTCCCCCCACCCCCGCACATGTTAATTTAATTTTACACTTAAAAAACGAGTTTCCAACTTAGATATAATTAGTTGAAATGAGCAACATCTATTTAACAGTAGTTAAATATAAAAGGGAAATAATGAGAAAGGTCACTTGTCATAGACAATCAGTGTTTATCAAACACTATGTGTCTGGCACTGTGCTAAGTGATTTATACACACTATATAGATTTTAATCATCAAGCCTCACAAAATAACTACTATTTTTATACTTCCCCTAAAAAATGAAGCTTAAAGAAGTAAATTTTCTAGGGTCACACCACCAAAAAGTTGAAGATTTGAGTCCAGGTCTAGGGAACCCCAAAGCTTATACTTTTAATAGAATTTAAACTTCCAATTTGTGAAACTACCACTAATTTTATTTGGATAAAGAAAGAAAAAAGTGTATATGCCTGTTTGATTTGAGTAGAAAATATTTGGAAGACTGTAACAAATGTTAGCATTGTAGAATATAATAAAAAATAGGCATATCAAGGAGTACTTCCACTTTTATATTACACATATGTCTAGTGCTTGAAATGTTTGTATTGAACATGTATGAACATAGTAAATTTGTTATGCTTTTTTTCTTGTGCTGGGAATTGAACCCAGGGCCTCTTACATGATAGGCAAGTGTTCTGCCATTAAGCTATGCCCCAGGTCCTTATAGTTGTCTCATGTGTGTGTGTAATATATATATGATGGAATATATGCTGATATATATATGTATATACATATATATGTGTGTGTGTATAGATAGATAGATAGACATACATATAGATAGATATATATATATATATATATATATATGCATGCTGGAATAACAGCATTGTGTTCCCTATACACTCAAAGCATTCTCAAGAATTGGGAAAGAAAACAGGAAATGGAGTGCATTTTTATGGCCTGTCATCTTCAACTAGTGTATAGTATTGCTATGATGAGGTAGTACTCGCCTGAGGTCTGGACTCAGATTTTCTTTCTTGCAACTTTATGAATTTTCAGGTATTTTGATAAAGATTCTCCTCACTCTTCCCCTCCCTTTTTTGGCAAAAGTCCAGAGTCCATCAGGCCCCTGCAACAGTCCATTTCATTAAATACTACCCAGGATGTCTGCACAAGCAAATGACTCCCTATTGTATTGCCGTATTACTCAATAAAACTTCTTACTGCAGGCTCAAGATAGATGACTGTTTCTACACCCACCCCCCCACCCGCAAAAAAAAAAAAAAACTGATAGAATAGTATAAAGAACCTGGAGAAATCATGTAACTTCTTTTCTCTAATATAGTCTCTTGGCTCCCTCTGAACTTTATTGTTATAACTTGTCTTGTAGTGGAGATATTTATATAATGGTCTTTGATTTTCATTAAATTGTTAAGTACCTCAGGACTTAAAAAGCACCTTACAAGGAATTGCATGAGGTTTATTATTTAATTAAATCTTTAAAACACAAATAATGCAATAGGCCCTCCTTATCTGTAAGGGATATTCCAAGACCCCAGTGGACCCCTGAAACCACAGATAGTTCTGAACTCTGTGTGTATACTATGTTTCTTCCTTTCTCTAAATACGTATGGGAAAGTTTAGTTTATATTTTAGACACAATAAGAAATTAACAACAATAACTAATAATAAAATAGAACAATTATAACTATACTGTAGTAAAAGTTATTTGAATGCTTTCTCTCAAAATACCTTTCATCTTTTTATTTAGAAGAACCACTTCACATATTCTCTTTGGCATAACCAGATTGTGAACATCACTACACTTTTGTGCTCTGGGGCCATTATTAAGCAAAATAAGCATTAGAATATCATAAGCACTGTGATACTTCTCTACTGAGAGGCTGCCAGGTGGGTAACATATACAGTGTGAATAGGCTGGACAGAGGGATAATTCACATCCCACTTAGAACAGAGTAGTACAATGTGAGATTATGTCATGCTATTCTGAATAAGGAACAATTTAAATTTTATGAATGGTTTAGTTCTAGAATTTTCCATTTAACATTTTAGATCAAGCTTAAGCATGGGTAACTAAAACTACAGAAAATAAAACCACAGATAAGGGGAAAATACTGTAGTATTATTGCCCCAATTCCTATCTCATGTTCCCTTCCACAACTCACCCTCCAATGCATTACTCATAAAACAGTTTTATGAAAAAACATTTTCCATATTTTGAAGGAACTTAGAATTCTGTGAGAACTCAAGCTATATTTAAAACTAGCCATAATTATTAGTGAATCATCACTGTGATAATGTAAAATGAAAAAGTAGAAAAGGCAGTAGCTGCATTGTCTTAATGACGCAAAGAAAAAAGAAAGCAAAGATATAGGAACTGGATACATTACTAAGAGAGAACAACCCAATAAGGGAAAAAATGTGGGTTCAAAGCATAAAGAGGAAGGAAATTATTGAAATTTAGAAGCAGAAACTTGACAGACCATGGATGGATAAGGCATGGAAGCAAACCAAAAAGAAATACAAGCAGAATCATCAATGCAACATAAAATAATAAAGAAGTTAAAAAATTTGATATTATATATTTAAAAACATACCTAAGAAAAATCAGAGCAGTCTGAGTGCTAGGAGACAAACATTTCTATTTTTGTCCCTTCCACATTTAATTTCTAAGGTACTCACTTTTTTCATACATAAATGACATAAAAATGGGGGATTATATACCATGTTTGTATTAACATGGATCATGATAAAATGAGATAAAACAATATGGTTAAAAGAGCTAAAGAGGGTAAGCAAATAAACAAGACATGAAGTGAGTTCTGCTACTTATCATGTGACCTTGGAAAAGTCACTAAATATTGCAATTTCCTCATCAGTATAACTATTGCAAAACTCAAACAAAATGGTATAAATAAGTGTACTTTGTTAGCTATCAAGTTCTGTATACAGATGTAAAAGAATATTATTTTGGCTAAATCTGTGTGTAGCACATTATCTTTACATTTTGGTACATTCTCAAATTGCAAAAACAATTTATTTCGTTCTATTAAAAAATTAATCATTGGGGGAATTGGTTAAAATATTTGTTTGGCAATTTGATCATTGAACAAAACAACTAGATGATTTTTCCCTTACTTTTCTTTCTTTCTTTTCTTTTTTTTCAAATTGTGATATTAGAGATTAAACCCAGGGTCTCCCACATTCTAGGCTAGCATTCTACCTCTAAGCTATGTACCAAGCTTCCAAATGCTTTATTATAATTATTTGCTCCCTTTCAAATTCCTTCAAATAATATCATTGCCATAAATAAGTGTATGATATAGGCCAAACATACTACATAATTTTTATCGCTAATTGAAGTTGGCATTGTGTGCATTATTATTCTCATTTTACGTATGAGGAAAAATTAAGTTCAGAGAAATTAAATAATTTATGCAATATCATAGATCTTTACTGCATGGAGAACAGATAGTGCTAAGATTTTGTTCTCCATCTCTTAATTATCTTTATCTCTCCAAGCAATATATTATCCTCACCTTTATCTCCTTAGTACTGTATATTATTTCTAGAATATAATATATGCTCAATAAATGGTTGTGAAATGAATGATTAAATGAATGAACTGTCTCTCTTCAAGCCAGACTGCACACTTACACAAGATTTATCTTCCTATTTTTATTACTACTTTCCCACTTGAAATCACTTAATGATTCTTCATTACCTACAAAATATAATGCAAATTCTTTACCTTACACTAAGACCCTCTTTGGTGTGACTCCACTTTTTTCTAGCCATATCTCCCTTATTGTTTAAACAACAACAAATACTTTCTACTCCCACACTCATTCCAGAATATTCTGCAATCAGACTACCATGGGTCTCAATCTCGGCATTTACTCACTGTAAATGTTGGCAAGTTATTTAGCATGTCTGCAAATCCTATCCACTGCAATACAGCAAGAAAATTGAAATGAAGAAAATAATCCATGTTTATTAACTGATGATGTGATAGTGTACATATAAAATTCAAAAGAATGTATAAACTACTAAAATTAATATGAGATTATAGAATAAAAGTCAATTTGCAGAAAACAATTGTATTTCTGTATATTAGCAAGAAAAAAATTACAAACTGAAATTTTTAAATACTATTTACAAAGACACAAAAACTTTCAAAAACTTTCATTAAACAATTCTAATGAAATGTGCAAGATCTCATAATTAAAAAAAAAATTGCTGATAGAAATTTGCAAGACCCAATTTAAAGGGGGAGATGAAGAGTCTTAATATCAAGATATGGTGACTTCCCAAATTGATCTATAGATTCAATGCAGCCATAATCAAAATCCCAGCAGAGTTTGTAAATGAAAAGTAAGGTATTAATTCTAAAACTTACATATTACCTATAT